CCTCCCTCTCTCTCCCTCCCTCTCTCCCTCCCCCGCCCTCCCTCCCTCCCTCTCTCCCTCCCTCCACCCAGGCGTGCCCTCAACAGGGCAGCGGCCTCTTCTTTGCGTGAATTTCAGGAGTGGTTCAGCAGTCTGGACTCCCAGGGCCAGGTTTTCAGATCGCTGAAGGACGCGGACCCCGAGGGGGACGAGTACCACGACGACGACGGGCGAATTTTGGTCCACCCCATGGACACTGTCGATCGGAAGGTCGTTTGGTATCACAAGTTGTGGGACTCCAAGTACACGACGTGGTCTAGCGCGATGGAGACCATGCGATCCATCAGGCGATGTGCTGAAGTGCGCAGCTGGTGCCGCTCAGCGTCGCAGACGTCAGAGCAGCACTGAGGCGCATGAAGGCAAGGGCGGGCCTCGAGATCGACAGGCTCTCTCCGACGGACTTCTAGCGCTTGCCCGACGAGGGCATCCAGTCTTTGTGCGACCTTTCCAGCATGATCGAGGAGGGCTTAGCGTGGCCGCGGCAAGTCCAGTGTGTGGTCGGCAAGCTGCTGGGCAAGAAGGCTGGTGGCGATCGCGTCATCGGCTTGATCGCCATGCTGGGCCGAGTCTGGTCCATGGCCAGAGAATGCCAGATGAAAGAGTGTTCCGACGCGCAGGCGTCCACGGACCACTGGGACGCGGCCATCGCGGGCAACAGTGCCTTGCTCGAAGCCTTCGTGAGAGCGCTCCAGGCTGAGGTGCACTCCAGGCTTGACATCCCGCATGGTCAGACGGTAGTTGACATTGCCTCTGTTTACGATCCCATCGAATGGGGACCCCTCGCGCTTTGTGCGCTGCGAAATGGGTTCCCAGCAGCCATTTTATTTTTGGTTGTCTAGCCCCACGCGTTCTCGAGCAGCTGAACTCGTTCAGCGACCATGTTCAAGTCATGCGTTCTGTAGCGCAGGGCCTGCGCAACGGCACGCGTTTCGCCATGTTTGACGGCGTACATGCGTCAGAGGTCGTGCGAGGCCCATGTTTCTTTGAGCGAGCGCATTTGGACCGACGATACGTCGCAAAGGGTTGCGGGCTCGAGACAGCATGTCCGCACCACGCTCATCAAGGGAGCGTTGTCAACCATCGGGCTGTTCTCCAAGCTCCATCTGGCCATCGCCGACAAGAGCGCGGCGCTGTGCCCCCGCAGCGCCGACGCGCAGGTGGCGCAGCGTGCGCTGAAGAGGAAGGGCGTCTCGCTGCGGGCAGTCCTGCAGACGGCCTACCTCGGGGTGGACACGCCGTGCGGGCGGCGCCACGGGCGCGCCGCGGCGAGGCAGCGCGCGCTCAGGTCGGGCAAGGCGCGCGGGCGCCTGCGGCGCTTCGCTCAGGCGGCGAGGCGGTGGGCGGTCGCGGCCATGCTCCAGCGAGCAGGGCCGCAGGCCGCCGCCGTCTACGGGCACCACGTGCGCGGCACGTTTGGCGCGGTCACGCAGGCGCAGAGGAGACGCCTCGGAGCGGTTGCTGGCCCGGCGCGGCGGGGCCGCTGTTTGACGACGCCGCTGGCCATCAGGCCTCCTGGGTGCGACCTTGGCACTCACAGCTGCCACGTCAGTGCGTCACCCAGTGGCCGACAGCAGTTATTGTATCTTCTGGAGGTCGCCAGTAGCGCGGGACGTGCCGAGTGACGGCTCTACGATGACACACACTTGGGAATTCCATAGTAGTGACGTCGAGGCGCTTCACCAGGCGGGCCCACTCCTGGACGAGCTTGAAGGCACCATACAGTTGAAGCTGTGGAGAGAGGCCGCCTCTCCTTTTTTGCGGAGGCGGCCTGGAGCAGGGAGCTGACATGGGTTCTTTGCAGGTGATGTTGCAGGATTTGCCTTCGGCTAAAAAGGGCAGGCAGCTGTCAGAGCTGCTTGTCTGCATCGCCACGGGTGGCCACTGGACACGTGAGCGATCTTTCGACGCAAGGTGTGCGATTCAGGCATGCGTCAGGGATTCGGCAAGGAGCGAGACACCCCGCTTCACAGATGTTGGACCTGCGAGGCCAACGCCAGCTCCGTCTCCAAAGCATATGCCGACTCGTGCGATCTTTTGCCGCAGGCTGTGGCGGAGGCTGAGGCGTTCCCTTGTTTTTGGATGAGGGACCTCATCCCTGCCCCCTGGACGGCTGCCCCCCCTCCTCCTTCCTCCGAGTCCTTCGAGGGGGACCAGCTCCTTGAGGGGCATTTGCGCGGGGGCTGTCTTGGGACGGGCTCTACAGATTGCCTCGTCATCATCTTTGGGGATGCTTCGGGCGGAGCCGACACTCACGACTCGAGGCCCCGTAGGGCTCGGCTTAATTGTAGCATCGTTTGTCAGCCTTGAGCCTCTCGTGCCAGGACCCTACCTCGTGGGGCCTCTGCACGGTACACCCTAGGCGATGCTTAAGAAAACCTAAGTTTTCGTCCAGAGTCTCGATTATTCTTAAGTTTTCAATGTAAATCCCAAGATTTTGATAGAAACGCTGGGTTTTTTATTC